AATTATCAGAGGGAGAGAGTGCTGATGCGTGTTAAATGCACATTACCTCTTTGGCATCAGCAGATTTGGTGCATCCATTCCTGGCAATGAAAAGCGTGCTGGGCAAATTCAACTCGTGGCACAAAAGGATTAATTAGGGTACAGCTAATACAAGCAATGTTTAGACATGAATCAAGAAATTTAGGACACGGGGCTTATGGTGCACTGAATAAATGCCAACACCATAAAAGAAAGAAAAGACGTGAACTAATTTTGTGTTTACGAGGAGCAGAAAGTTCTACCCCGGCTTCTGCTTAGCGGAGAATTATGCACTGCAGGTTTCTTCTGAAATACTGCACATGACTACACAAAATGTTTTCTTGCTTTTATGCTAGCCCACCCTCATTGTAATTAAACGAGAGTATTTTTCTGGAAAAAGAGCTATTTGATGGCTAGAAAACCAAGAAATACCTGCTCTCTCAAGTACAAAACCTCAAGGCCTTCCTTTGTTATGTGCTGTTCTAGGTCTGAAACTCAACAGGAACACAGTGCAGGTGCCTGGGCTTTCTACTGCACTTTTTGCCTGAAGGAACGTTTAATATCAATTGGCAAAAAAAGATAAGGGACTGGATAAGACAGTCGTGAAGCTCTAGAGGCTAGTGTAGGACACAGGATCTGTAGCTGAGCTCAGATGGGGACTGCAGAAAAGCATGCAGACAACAGTAGCCTGCTGCACAGACCTAGCCGAGCTGTCTTGTCCAGGTGCCGGATGCTGGAGAGTGCTGATAGAAAAACTCTGCTAACTTTCTGCTTTGTTAATTTGTCCAGCTTTTTCTAAGAAAAAGAAAAGGCAGTGGAGGTGCCTTGTACCTTGCGGTATACTGTCACAGATAGACACAGTCTTCCCTTTATTGTGTACCCCTATCTGTAAATGACCATGATTCCCTACCATTTTGGGAAGCTTTTTGGAGGAAAAAATAACAAAAAGTTCCCTATCTCACCTTTAGGCTGAAACAGCAAACGCAGTTCAGTTCATAGAACATTCAAAGTGCTAAGAGCACAAATGTCTAGGTTGTGTAATGGCAGCAGACTGAAGACAGAAAAAGGGAATTTGCTGAGACCTGACTCCTGAGCTCAGCACAGCCAGTAGAACGCATCTGCAACAGAAACCCTCCCCGGTGAAAACTGTGTTCATTAGGCCTATAAAGTACAATCACTCATATATTCAATTTTTCCAGTATTTCATCTTTCTTAAACTTCTATTGTGGCAAAGACGTAATGAAATTATTTCCTGTGAAAATTTCCACTAACTTTAGCCAAAAATCAACAAAAACACTTTTTAAAATTAGTTTATACGTTTCTTCTAGAGATCTCTTAAGAAAGTTGGATGCCAGAAAAAAAAAAAAAAAAAGCACTCCTTAATGAGGAATTAAACCAAAAAAAAAGGGGGGGGGGGACAAACAAACAATTTTAAGTAACAATTAAACCAAACGCTCTCCCACTTCAGTATTGTTGATCATATTCCCTATTTGCAGCCAACTCCATGTCCCAGATCCCTCGTTGTTCCAGGGCAGGTGGAGGCCCTGCTCGTCACTCCGTGGCAGTCAGGCCATCCCTCTGCACTAGGGCACGGCAGGCGCAGCAGCGTGCACAGCCAGCACGCGATGCAGCGCACCCAGGCTGATGGCTGCAAGAGATGCAGTGCCTCTGGGCTCCCCCTCCACACAGGGGTCTCCAAAATCGCTGGATTCACATGTAACGCGTAAAATTTCTCATCCCCAGCCATGATTTATTTTTAGGGAAATTAAAGCTTATATTCAAATATTGGTTTTCATTAAATGGCTTTAAATTATATTTAAATAATTCTCAATCTCCTCTCTAATTAATCATATTAAGGACCAATTTCCCTCTTTTATTCAGGAAGCTTGACTTTGCCAAGGTCCTAAGACCCACAAAATGGCAGGGTGAGAGCCCTCTGTTATTTCGTTTTCCTCTCCTGGTCTCTACAAGCCCTGATTTCTGGAAATGAAAAATCAGCTCCTACAGGGCCTCACACTTTAATCACTTCAGGTTAACGTGACACCCTAATGAGAAATCTCCCTTTCCTTTCCATCTCATGATTTGCTCCACTCCACCTGCCAATTCAAGGCTCTTATGGGATCACTCACTGACCTTAAGACTCCCATTACTTCCACCCCCTTTCCTCATTTTGAAAATCAAATTAATTTTGTTGGTGACAACTAAAATTTGCTTAAAACACTAAGTAGATATAACGTATTTATTGCCCTTGGTGAATCCCAGCTTATCTAGTGTCTCATAAAGGGGAAACTTATAAGTTTCCACTTAATTAATAGCACTATTACACTTTTAAAAGCTCATTTAGTTTAGTATTATTTGTTGCACTCGATATGAAATAATTAGTAAAAGCCAAAAAGGGCCACTGAAAGACAATAAAGGAGAATGCTCATTTTAATTTCCAAATGCATTACTGCATTGTACAAAACGTGAGGGTACAGAAACATAACACTGAGTGTTGGCAGCTTAGCTTTAGTTGACTACTTCACTCATTAGCATAGACTCAATCCTTTTTCTTCCCATTCACACGAGTACCTCTAGATGCTGCATTTCCTTACAAGCAGCATTGCCAGAGCCATGCTTAAGTTAAAAAAGGTCAAAGATATCACTTAGGAAACACCAAAGCTATTAGTGAAACTGGGTCAGTTTAGCAAACAACTTTTTTTTTTGGCAGGTAAAGTTTTAAAAAGCAGTTTCTTAATTTAAAAACCTGACCTGAAGATTGAGGGAAAAAAAAAATCCCGTTCAGGAAAGAAAAATTAAATAAGAAGCCAACTTTTTCGTGATGGGGAGACATCTCTATTACTTCTCTATACCTCTTCTGCTCTTTCACGTACACACACATCCAGTGCGAAAGCTGGCCTTCCTGGCCGAGGGTGAGTCTCAGAGAGCACTCTCCCACTTGCACAGAAATCCCCTGGTTTCTCCCCTGTTTGACTTCCGCTAATCCATCTGCTGGAATCAGAATTGTAGCTCCATTTCCTGCGCTGCTGCTTCCTTGTTTCAGCTCCCTGCTGTTTGTTTCTAGGATATTCTCCTCCCTGCTGGGTGTATATTTTACTCTCCTGGAGAAGAGCCCCGATCATGTTTCCCTTTCTCACACTGTCTATTACTGACGCCTGCTACGGGAACATCCCAGCCAGCGCAATGTCCCAGTGCAAAAAGCATCTGGTCAGCTCTCGTGACCCAGTATCATCACTTCAGCAGCCCACGTTAGCAGTGAGCGATGGGTCGTTTCACTCCTTCACACTTTCTTGGGTCTTAAGAGAAGGGTGGGATTAAAAACAAACATCTTTCATGCCAATAAGGTGGGCTACAGTTAATGGTACAGTAAACAAGAAGAATTCTCCTGAATTTAAAAAAGAAGTTCATCATGAATAATGAATATTCCTCTCTTAAAAACGTCTTCATTTAGTGTCCAGGCTAAAAGGATCGTACCAAGAGACACAGAGGTGCTAGGATGTTTCTGTTCCCTCAGACACAGAGCCCCACACAAACACATGGCTATGAAAATACTTATTTTTAGCGACGGAGTAGAAGTGTAAGCGTGGCTTGTCCCACCACCACATCAGGTACAGACCCATTCCTCCTCCTGCCCCCTGCCACAGCCCGGACAGGCCCACGGCCCAGGAAACCCAGACCTCCAACGTGCAGGTGAGGTCTGCAGCCTGCACGCCCAGCCCAACCATGGCCAGTGGTAGGGGCTTGAAATGAGGAGGCTGCTGGGCTTCAGTGTAGTGTGTTGTTCTTCAGTCTGCAAGGACAGACTGGTTTCCAGCCCTGGAAGGTCAAACACAGTCCAAATGTCACTCCCCAAAGCCAGAAGAGATGGGTGGGACGAGGCTGAAGAGCACGACATACAGAGCAGGAATCCCTGCGACGCTCAGTGCTGCCAAGTGACTGCTAACTGCACAGCCAGATGTCTCCCAGTGCAGTTATTACCAGTTCCTACTTCAGCCTCATCAACTAATTTTCCGATCTCCACCCAAAAAGGAACTTTTATTCCTTGTGGTCCAACACAGCCTGTCTCTAATTCAGATGTCCTGCTAGCTTCCTGCAGGAATGCTGTCTCTGGGTCACGGGTGGCCACCCAGCCAAGAGGGAGGATGCTTTGGTTAAATGTAGCTTGCTCCTACCACTCTGAACTGACATCCCTGGAGGGGACAGAGGCTTTTCCTCTCACCCCCTTCTGCCACTTGGGTGGGCACTGATGCCTCTGCACTGCACAGTCTGGTTGCTACTCCGGGGCAATATTTAACGTAGCAGCCACCGGCCCTTCTCCACCTCCATCCAAAGCAGAGCAGAGCCCAGCAATGCCAGCCCAACGCTCGTGAAGCCAGCGAGGTTTCTGTGCGCATGTAAGGTCTCTCTTTGCTAGGGAAAGCCTAATATGCTACTTGTTCTGGAAAACTCCCCCAGGCAGCTACACGCTTGCGAGAAAGCCGAGTTGCCTCTGGGGCAATGTGCTCCTAGGCCCTGGATCTGTCTGCAAGTGCGCTTTGGAGGCGGAAGAAAGACTTGTCACTGATCCCAGCGCAGCTGGCAGGGCTGCAGCTGAGCTGCGAATGAGCTACAAATTAGTCCAACATTTAAATACTCGCTTCTAAAGATAAAAGCCAGCTAAGCCTCTCACAGTAGCTTTTCCTGAGGAATGGGAAGTGTCTCTAAGAATAACCATGGCTGCTGAGGAGCGGCCGAGGTTCACGAGAGCTGCCTGCCATCACGCCAGGAAGCTCGGCGCTGCAACGCGATACTTTTAGAAGTGACCTCACTGCATGGCTGGTGAACGCTGCCAGACATCACGGCATCATCCTCGCAGACAGAGCCCTTTGTAGCTCACAGGCCTTCCTGCTTCCTAATGTACTCAAGTGCCACCTAAAGCTGTGGCTACAGAAGCTCTTTGCCACATGGGTGCTGTACGCTTTAACCTTGGTACAGCAACTTACCTTAGAGAAGTGGGGCTGCACATATGGCTCTCCACATCCCAAAACCAATGGGCTGCATTCAGGGGCACTTGGGATTCGACAGAACAGGGAAAAACGACCAGAAATGGCCTGTCAGAAAGAAACAAAATGAGAACATAATCCATGTAATCCAATCCTCAAGTGACTGTGATCATTAACTGCCTTTTTAAAAGGAACTACAAAACTAAGCTTAAATAGAAAATATTGCAGTACTGAGTGACGGAAGGCACAAGTGCATCACTGGAGCGAACAAAGAATGTAGGCAACGCTCTTGTACAAATGCACAGCTTTTTCCTCTTCTCCTCATCCATTTTTCTCCTGTGTACTAACCTACTCGATTAATGGTTTTGTGCTTTTGGAAAAAAAAAACAACACACACACACAAACACACCAGACACGACACAGGGAACAATATTTAAAGTACATGGTTTACACGGCTGAAAATGTTTGTTTTGACTTCCTCTTACTAAGACAAAAATGAAAACTTCTAAGAACGTTTTATGAATTCTTGCCACACCAAGTAACCTGTTCCAACTCAAGAGGTACCTCTCAAATAGCTTTTTCAGTGTAAACAAAGTGATGTCATATTGACAGAGGGAAGAGCAAAACTTGGCTGTTTAATTTGGAAGATTGCTAAAAACGATACATTTAACTCTCCTAGTCTAACAATGAAATGTTTTTATAGTTCACAATACCTAACACCCTTGTTCACATTAAACAAATCATCCTGAGTTCCTGTTGAAATAATACACATCCTATTCTTTTTTGGAGTATATTGCAACATTAGGAAAGAAAAAATAAATACATATTAAAATAAAATGCCATTTTCATCCAACTGCACGAAACGCATTCAAACAAATGTAGAGAAGCAGACTGTAAAATCCATGCAGAAGAATACTTAAGAACACAAATGCTTCAGGTATGCTGTAAATGTACCAGGAACGTCTCCAGACAATACAAATTTATCTGTTATTTTCCTCTCCTTGTGGTGCCCAGGTTGCTCCTCCCACACTTTCCTTTTCCCATCTTACTTTCCTTTTCCCTGTCCTTCACCTTCCTTAGTTCTTTTCTCTCCTCTTCTATGTATTCATTTATTTTAACTCTGTTTCTTGCACCATTCCTCTATTCCCTCTGCATGGATTACCTTTGTCCCCCAAGTTCCCTTATTTTTCTCTCCCCAAGCTTTTCTTAGCCAGGAGATTAAGCAAAGGACAACAGGTATGTACAAAGCCCAATTCCTGACTGGGGCTTCCACATGCAACACACTCTCTGACCCACATATTTTATTTCATCTATTGCATTTCAAAGTGTATTGATCTTTTGAAATGGGCACACTTTGATAAGAAACACCATTCTGTTAGATTCGCCTCCCTAGCATACCAGATAAGCTATGACAGCTCTCCGTGCTAGCACCCCATGGGCCGATCAGATGTGTACCACATGGAAATGGTGATGCAGAAGAGCCGTGGAGGAAAGCCAAGCCAAACAGTTATTATTCTGCATTTGCAAGAGCAACTACATTGTTCTTCAGTAAGAACTCAAATGAAAAAGTAAGGACAAGCTCACATTTGAAAATACCAAAAGCATATTGTCAAAGTTTACAACTTTAAAATAACAACAGTCTAATCCATTAAAGAAATGACAATCAGAAACAATCTGCTTCATCATTTTGGATTAAATTTGTACAAATGTTGCCCTTAAAAACAAAACAAAGCAAACCAGAATACCAGAAACTACAAGTCATTAACAATGTAGTTAACCACTAGTTAACGATCTCATTTTTGACCAGTCTGAATGAGTTCCTCTAGCAAGTATAACAAACCCTGAAGTTTCAGTTTAGGAAAACTTCCTTGCCATTGTCCTCCACTTCTTCCCAGCCAAGCCCAGAAGGATCAGTTGGAAGAAGGAAGAGAAGTTTAGTTTTCAAAGCCTGTTTGATCATTTCCCTTTCCACTTCCATCATAAACTTCAGCTTTTTCCTGAGACTGCAAACATCGACAGAAAGCTCATAGCACTCATGCAGCATTACAGGCTGCGGGCTAATGCCTCTTAGCTAGACACATGATAGGGCCACAAGCTTACTTTAAATGGACTGCCCAAATAACTCTGGAGTGATTAAAACCGGGAGTGTTTCCTAACAAAACATTCCTTAGGTAGAAACAATGAACATTTTAGTTAAAAACATGCAGATTTTTTTTTTTTTTTTCTCCAAAAGGCTATGGAAGTAGGGTCCTGTGCAGTTTTCCACTTCAGCCAATTCCCTCTCGAGGGAATTATGTTGACTTCATGTAGGAGAGGCAAAATGATTAGCTGACCAAAGGGCTTGGCATGAATGGTTTTTCTGATACTAGCACCTGCTATGATATTAACAAATTGAAGAGCACTGGTGCTCCAAGAAACTAAGTGTATAGGTAGGGGAAGATTCAACTGGAAAACAGATGCTTTAAGAGTGCCACAAATTTAAAGAGCTGCCATTTGAAAAGGTGCCAGAAGTAAATCACCACTTACCCTACAAGGAACGAAAGTGAGTGCTTGAGCACGACCGAGATTCCGCACAAGGTTTGTGTCATACATTTCATTCAATAAGGCAATCAAGATGATTAGGGAGTGTAGGAAAGGCTCATTAATGACCACAGCAGACATTGAGTCAGCCTTTCATTTATTACCAGCGCATCCGGACAGTTTTCATTTATTGGGTTTTTAATTTAAAGAAGCAAAATTTATGTAGACAGACACATGACTGTGTGTTGTACCAATCCTTATTCACGTTTAAAAGCTGCCCCTAGCTTTATTGAAGTGATACTGGCAAAAACCAACAACGACAACAAAAAAAAGTGCTTCACAATTTGCACGTTTCCTTTAGTTACTTATTTCACTTTGGGTACTGAAGTAAAAATGGCATAAGAATTTAGCCAGGGATTTTATCCTTAAGATGCAGAACAGAACCCCAAAGCTATAACTGATGACAATACTCAGGAGTACGTCTTCAGCTTCAAAGACGGAAATTTTGCATACTAATCACTGGGATTTTGGAAGAAGAGTTACAAAAAGCAAAGGCAAAAACGACAATGGAAATGCATGCAATTGGCAACAACTGTGGCTGAGATTGCAAAACAGCACCCTTGTAATGAGAACAACATGGAGCGTGATTTGCCTGGCCGTCCATTTGAACTGAACAACGGCATTATCTCATGGATTCACAGCTGTTAGTGAGGTACGGAATCTGTCTTCCCTACGCCCCGTAACACGGATGGGAGCTGGAAACGTGGCGTTCCTCATTTCACTACATACAGAAGAAGTTTCACTGCATGCACACACACCTAAGCATGCCCAAGCATTTTTTCCTGTTTCTGTAACTGGAACATGGGAGCTATGGTTTCAAATGAGCAAAAAGAGCGTTGCACAACACCGAAGCCGTGCAGAAGAAAACATGGACCAGATTTCATCAGTACGTGGCAATTATGTGACCACAGTAATGCTACAAAATGGAAATGAAAAAAAAAAAAAACAATTGAAATCCTGAACCAACGTAGCAAAGGTTCACCTGGCAAACACTGAGACTTCACTCAGTAAATACAAAAGATTTTGCTACAAAAATTGACCAAAAAAAGTTCAGCCACACAAAACCGCGAATTTTAAGACTGAGGTTTAAATATGGCAGCTATAAAAATGAAAGCTGAGGGATCACACAACAGAAATAAATAGAACAAAGCCACCAGACCCTAACAGACATGGCTCCTTGACAATAAAAGTTGAATGTTCAGATCCTTGGCTACTGCAAAGACAACTGTTCCTATAATATGAACTGTTTGTTTGTTTTTAAATGGAAAACCTTCCTCTGTCCAGTGCCAACTACCACTCAGCCCTTATGTATGCCGTGCAAGAGGTCAGATGGAAAGACTTGGTGGTACCTTCAAGTTTCAGAGCAATACACTTTGAGCTGAGCTCATTTCCCAGCCCCAGAGGACACAGAAGGATGCCAGTATGTGTCACTTGTCTAATATAGTCAGTCAGTCTTCTAGAGCATCACCAAGGCATGAGATAATGAAAGCAGATACCTTGATAAGACAGGAATTTAATTTCATTGATGTGACACTGTATATCAGTAAGAAGTAAAGGACTACATCAGAGCTTAACTGCTCAAGTTCCCAGATTTTGAAGTGTGAACCTACACCAGAAGCAGCAACAGACAGCTCTCTGGGATGCTTCTTGTGCCAAGGAAGCAGACGGAGCACTTTGCTGTCTGCCTGCAGTGGAGGAACACTGTAGGAACAGCAGAGCCAGACCCAATGCCACAGCTGGACAGCAGGGCTCAAGAAAACACTGGGCTTAGCGTGGACTGTGACATGCTGATTCCATCAGACAGGAACAGTGTGGCTAGGGGTGGGCAGAGGGAACATCAGGTCTCCCCAGTCCCATGTCTCTGTGCTCACCAAAGCTCCTCTTCAACCCTCCAGACCTCTTACAGACCTCTCGCTGATGGGACAACCTCCTGTGGGGCAGGGCACAAGCTGGTAGCGCAGGAAGAGACTGACACTCTAGGGAACTACCACCGACCAGGACAGGGTTCTTGATCAAACTCCTTCCCAGGCAGAGGCTGATGAGCAGCTTGTTTCATTGCTGCTTGGGCATATCACAGGCCCTGTGTTAACTTGTCTGGGGGAGGAAAGAAGAGTAAAGGACCATAAAAATCTGTACAGCAAAGGAGGCACGGCAGTATATTACAGGAGTTCTTCCTCCCCCTGGTAGCTCAGTATCTCCTCATGGTGGAATGGGAGTGTTTTATTTTTGTTTTTCTTTCCATTAGAAGATGACCTTTGCTCCAACCAGGCTGATCTGCTGCAGAGCCAACATCCGCCAGCTTCCAGGGCTTGTGCTTCCCGAAAGGCAGCAGATACTTTCTGCTGCTCCAGCTTCCTTATTTAATCATGCATCCATAAATCAAAAGCAACCAAAACTGATTTAACATTTGGGTGAGAATTTAGAGCAGCTGAAGAGTGACCCAGACTGAGTCACTGCCTGATGGAGTTTCAAACAGTTCAACTGTAAACATAGCTGAACTCATTGTTGCATTAACCCCCCTCCGCCCA